AACGAACTACGAGCGACGGCTAAAACCTCTTCAAGGTCACTCAGGAGGGCGACCTTGACAACATATGTCAAGGTCAAGGTCATCGGGGCTGGCTCCCTTCATCGATATATTTACCAATATTATAAACCAAGTATCAAAAGGAACTCCATAGAGACTTACGAAAGGGAATGGAGGAAGTTTTATTGACAAGAGAGTTTTATCGAACGCGCTGGGGGTGTTTTCGTATTTTGTTCGCCGCCTTGTATTGCGCCTGCCGTACATAAATTCAAAGCCGTTGCACTTGAAGCAGTGTCCGGAAACAAACAAACAGCGAGTTAAACAAATTCAAATCGCACCTGGCGTGCGGCCAATATCGGCGATCGATTTTGCGGCCCGCGATGCCTTTCAAGAAATTCAGGCCGAAGTTCTCCATTTACCAAGTTTGCGTAACTATACTCGAAGCAAAGCACTTGCCGCAAAATGCGAATCCGCTGGTCGTCGTCAAAGTTGGAAATCGCAAGAGAAGGACAGTGGTACGCGAGAGGACCGATAATCCTATTTACAATGAGGTGAAGTTATCCAGTCACTGATTTGTATAAAACGCTCGACTCCAAATAACGGTTAGAATTGACAAACGTCTGTTCACAGTTTTGAATAATAAAAATCTCTTTGTTTAATTTTATAATAGTTTTGTTAATTTTGAAAAAATCTTAAAATTTAATTTAATTTAAAATTTAATTTAATTTTTAAAGAAAGTCTCCCGGAATTGTACAAGCATTTGTACTGCCTTCGAATAAGAAAGTATTTAAATTCTTATTAATTTAAGTTTTTAAAATTTAAACCTTAAATCTTCGAGTTTAAAGACCTTAGTTTCTTTTCCTAAAATTCTTTGAATCCTGTAAAAAAACGTATCGAAGTGAGATTTCACATATTTCACAAAACATACCCGAAGTTTCGTAGATTCTATCGACTTTTATAAATTAAAAACTATGAAGTTTTATTTATTTCTGAGCATTTATGGTCAAAATCACAGATTGTTAAAATTCTCGAGTAGTTGAATGAGTTCTGTGATATTTTTCGAGATACAAGTCCTTCAAATTCAAAGAGCTTTAGAGTCTGTCAGGATTGAAGATTCTGTATTTTCAGCTTTCGTAAAATTTGCTGACATTTAACTTTCGGAATAAACTGGCGCTTTTATAACGAAGATATTTTATTCGCGTGGAATTGCACACTTACCCCTTGCCCTTTGAAATACAGTACTTCGTATTCGACTTGACGTGCAGTTTGGAAAATCTGCTAAACACGGGAATCACGATAGCGGTGTACCTACGGAACTTTCTTCGGCGACTAAAGTTTCACGGAAGCACTTCCTTCGAAGTTGCCACAGTATGGGAACAACCAGGTTAGTAAAAGGAAAAATAAAAAAGAGATAAAGAGAATGCGGGTGCACCTTGGAGCTTTGTTACTGATTGTTACGTGAATTGAAGGAGAAAGATAAATTTCTCCTAAATGACAAACAGCTTAATTATCTTCGTAAAGTAGAAATATTTCTGTTTACGAATAAAAATGCAAGAAATTCCTTCGATAACGGAGAAATGCCGCTTCGGAAATGAAAAAGAAACACGTTTGATTTTTCAAGGAGCATTTTCCAGATATATGTTATTACTTCTGTATATAGATCGTCAGTACTATCACAAGTGGGCTGTGTTGACAGACCCGAAGGATCTGACGGCGGGCCCGAAGGGTTACGTAAAGTGCAACATCACGGTGAACGTCAAGGATGAGAAAGTGAAGGTGCACCCAGAAACAGTGGATGAAGACGACATCGAAGGGTAATCCCGCCCCGATATAAATCCCCATTATCGACGTATCCGTAATTTATACCGAACGGCTTGTCAGAATTTCCGTCGTCTGTGTGCTTGAATCTCGTGGGAATGTGTTTAAATGAACGTAGGAATCTACTGCTTCCTATCGGCGGTGAGGGGCTGCCCTTCAGGCAACGCGCTCGATACGTCTTCGTCGTTTATCGCGCTGATGGTCTGCCCGATATGAGCAGCTTGTGCAGGAAAACCGATTTCGAGAACGTTAATCCCTATGTGCAAATATCGTTCGCCGGAATGAAGGTACGAACGAACTTCCGAGCTCTCGGTTCCGATCAACTTTTTATGCGCCTTTACTTCCTACGAAAACGAATGTATAATATTAGGATGGATATGTAATGCGCGACGGCGTTGCTATCGATAAGAATTATTTATTTAGAGCGGATACGGCCCGGTCGAACAAAATGATTACAGACTGTAGTGCTTCCAGGGATCGACGAGTGAAGCATGGCAAACCTACTCCCCCAAATTCTACGAGGCCATCATTTTCAAGGAAATGTTCCCCGTTCTCTGCCACCGTGTGAGAATCACTATAAAACACCGTATCGACAGTTGCCGGACTTGCATCGTAGCAGTTCATATCCTGGACACAACGAAGATCTCGAATTCCGGAGAGTACGGTGAGAGTGCCAAATAATTCCCTGCCAGAAGTAAGAAACTACCCGTACGTGATTTCTTTCGGATGCGATAAACTTGGAATAAATATATCTACATGTCTTGCGCGCCTCTCAAACTTCTTTATCCCTCCGCATTTTTACTTTAAATGCGATAAATTCATGCAGTGGAATCATATCTCACAAACCTTTTTATATTATGACGAATTCTGACACCGGGACAAATATTTATACGTAAAAATTTATTACGCAAGTCCGATATCAATCCTTTTTAACCTGATTTAAAGCGCGCTCGCAAATGTGTACAAAGTTCAAGTAAATGTTAGAAAGTAATAAAGTAAGAGGGCGACGTGAGAAATTGCGAAAGGTAGCATTTGTCCTGCCAACAGGATTCCTGCCGACTTACGGGCCGTCTTTCATCCACTTTTACGGATCCGGCTCGGTGGAAAAGAACGGCTGCTCGGGCAAATGCTTGACGGCAATGCCTTTGTATCGCGGAAGGGTGCTTCTGTCGCTGAAAACTGAAATGGATGACCCAGAAGCATCCCCCGGAATCGGGGTTGAGACCGTTCCAGCATTTCCCATTATCGAAGTGATTAGATTTGTTGTTACGCTCCGTTTTCGCGAGTACTTACTGTATTTCTAGCCGAAATCTGAGGTTAAATTATAGAAAGATCGGCCGAAATAATTTTTCAGAGGGTACTTATAGATCTTTGTGTGAACAAAATTTAGAAAAGCCTGTGGTCGACCGACGAATACCTTTTGGTCGCGGTTCTATACGACGTGTGCTTGATCGACCGTTCACGATTCGGATCGAAATTAATTAGCTTCGAATTGAGTCTGGGGAACGCAGGAAATCGGCAATTTCCGCATAGTCAATGCGCGGAAAACAATAACGACAGCCAGCCAGGTGCTCCATAAACATTTACTCCTGCTCGTCTTAATGTCGCATTTATTTGAAAAACATTTTAACGCTCTAGACGATAAATGAAAACGGAAATGAGAATTTAGGTACATTCTGTTTTAAATACCCAGCATTTTTCTTCCGCCTCTCGCAGCTCAGGCATTGCCATTGATTGCGACTTCTACAGGATGGTTCCTGCCAAGAGAGACAAATTTTCGGGTTTGGTGGGACAGACGATTAGTTTTAGGGTACGAAATTTATGTTGCGCGACTTGTTACTTTTCCTCAACTTGCAACGGCATCTCTGCGGATTTGTCGCTCTTGGCTACAGCTACTCTGTATTTGTCTCATGTAAAGTATGCTTTCAACGTCAACGCGAGATAGATATCAGGAGGTCACACATTTAGCATTAAGACGCGAGACAAAAATATTCCCTTTCCCGTTTATTCTCGCCTTCGGCAGAAAATGAGTCGCCGGAAAAGCGATTGAGCTTCGAGAGTCAATCAGCCCCGCGAACGACCGGCACTTTGGATGGCAAGTCTAATTATGTACCTTTGGGATCCAGGAAGCCCTGTTTGTACGTGAAATCTTGGTGGCCAAATTTGGAATGGCGGATGTACAACAGCAATAATCTCCGCTATATATTCGACTTTCTGGTACGCTGCAATTACACGATACTAAAAGCGTATAAATGTTCAATAATTGATAAACTTAGAACTTGAACAGTTTTTAATCTTTCCAAGTAAAATTTTGAAGTCCACCAGCAATTGAAATTAATTAAGAGGCATTCAGCCAATTTCGAATGTATTTTAGTGCATCAAATTTTACTTGTTTAATTTTCAACGAAACAAGTAAAGTCACTAATTATTATTCAATAAAGTTATTCAATAAAATTATTATTCAATAAACTTAAAAGTGTAATTTCAAGCGAAGTTTCGGACGTGTTAAACTAGAGTTTTTAATACGTTGCCAAGTGCTATTTGTGCGAATCAGAAGGATTAAAAGTTAGTTCGATTTTTTCAGGAGACAAGATTAGGGAAACTAGAGGCTCTCATGGCTATGGAGAGTCCAGTAGCCTTCGAGGCATACAATGAAACGATTCGCACGCTGAAAGCTCACTGCACACACTACTTACACGCGTTGGACATCGGCAGGTATGAAAACGAAGGAGGAACCATTAAACTCGATCGCCATCGCGCGAGTCTGTGTCGCAAAAATGTCGAGGACATTCTCAAGAGGATCAGGATCAACGGCGAGCTTCCTAACAACAATTACATGAGGATCGCGATGATTCACATCTACCAGTATTTGAGAAAATTGAGGAACCTGTGCGATGACGTGAGTTAACAATGCGCGTCTACTAAGAACAGACAGAGCCAAAAGAAAAAAACGCGAATTTATTATACTTAACTTATTAACTAAACTTATTTATTTAACTCATTATAATATCTTATTCATTTGACTGTTTTTTTTACTTCTACTCCTAATCTATTAATTCATCTAACTCCAAAAATATCAAATTATTCACCTGTAACAATTCCAGATATGATATTATGAATTTGCTACCGCAGACTTATGAACTCATTTTGTTTCAGCATAAATTAAAATGTTCAGTCAATTTTGATAATTTTTCGTCCATATACATACTAAAGAATCTTGTTCTATATTGCGGTTTGAGCACTTATGTTTCCAGAATGTACTTGAGAAGGACCCGATAAAGGGGTCGAAACGTCGTGATTAAAATAAACATCAAATTTGCCAGTTTGGTCGATTTTTTTAAAAATTCCTCTTGATTGATTACTATACTGGCGACAAGAAGCTACTCAAATTGTTTCGTACAAATATTATACGATTTTGAACCTACTGCATTATAGTTCGATTTGTATCGTTCAATTAGCCCCAACACAGTCTCCCGGATGTATTCGTCTGGATGATTGCCGGCTCGAAGCGAGTAGCTTACTCACGGTTGCCAGCCGGGCAGATCATCTACTCCGAGGAAGCGACCGAGGTGGGCGGGAAATGCGGACGACGAGTCAATCTGTTCCCCAGGAACCCGGACGACGAAAGGGAACCCGTTGAATACAGTGCCTGCAAAATCGAGGCATTTTTGTGGCTCGGCAACGCGAGGTACGCCGCCGCGTGTTGGAGCGCGATTCCTCCGGGATACGAGATCGATCACGGCAGAAGCGTCGACACCTTCCCGAGATACATCGAGTACAATCAGTCCTCGGTGAGAGATGGGTGGAAAGATCGCAAGGCAGGCGTTACGGTGTACAGAATGCACCGACTTTGAAAGAAATCATATTGACGTGACCTGACAAACATTAAGTCGAAACGCGCGCGAAAATGGCATCGTGATAATGCGACATGGGGCTCGATTCTTGAATCATTCGCCAAAAGAAATGCAAAAAATTTGCTTTTACAGAAAAGTTGCAAGGTGGTCGGTTATTCGCATGATTTTTAGCCAATCGACCCGCGACTCCTTTGTAAGAGCATAATTTTCGCATACGTTTCTCTTGCGAATGATTCAAGAATCGAGTCCGTGATCGTTACAGACGTTCCAGTTGCTAGCTCACGTATTCCAAGGTCGCTTTGATCCCGGAACGGATGCTTCTGGCTTGCTGGATTCGTTTGTACGCGTCGCGTTTCAGGGATACACGGCTTTCACGCAGGTGAGTTGTGTTTAACGTTTTAACGGTACGTGCAAATTTCACTTTCCCGGCTCTTGAATTTTTTACATGTGAAATTTTGAGCGAGTTACCAGGTCTCGGGACGCCGAGTACCGGCGTACGTTCTATCTCGCTGTAGTGATCGTGCCGCGTGCACAGATCGTGATACCGTGAAATTTCCACGGCGTGTATCCCTATGACATTTCACTTGAAACGCGCAAGAGTAATGACCGATGTAATACGAGGGTGATTAATGTTGTACGCGCAACATTTCGTTCCGTTCCGTGCTACGTGGTTGACAATTATTAAAATATACGATTAGTCGCGACTGTCTTTGTTACTTAAAAACGTCGATTAATACTGAATTCGAAGCCGATTCGTTTCGCATTAACGAGGTAATATTGTTCACGACCGACGAGTATCAAAATGATGTCGGCCACATCATTTATTATCAGCACCCCGATATTATTGCGATACGATTAACAAAACCGCGTAAATGATTAATTAATACAGTTTGAAAATATAGGGTCAGCATTCATCCTGTCGATTTAACTTAATAGTTGACGTTAATCGTCAAGAAACTAATCCATTTTTTTGTTATACAGATTTTTCTACTTTTACTGGATTGTGCTTGGATATGTCGAGGCTAACTTTAGCCTCGAATTTTCGTAATTAAATGAAATTAATCAGTGTTCAGTTTTGAAAGTTTTATTCAGGAAAAACTTACGGAGATCCTCTACTATCCTCGCCGATTTCAATCGCATTATTGTGTTTTTCTTGTTCGGTTTTCTTTCCAGTTTATTTTATACGTAATACATAGTACGCTGCAATACATAATTATATCAAAATGCACAATAGAATTATTTATGCAATGACATTTACGTGGCTGTTTTATTAGAATTTTTATTATTTGTGTATTGGAAATTTATTCTAATTACTCTCTAAGGTATGCATTATCAAAATGTACAGTAATCATATAACTTTGGTAATAAAAATTATTTGTAATTAGACTGAAATTGCTAAGCAATACAAAGTACATTTAAGAAAGGAATATTTGAACTTATTAAAACCCTCAAAATATATGTTGAACCTAATTATATGTCTTTGTAATTTTATAATTTTTCCAGACAGTAAGACAAAGTTTAGATCCGTTTTGGGATCAGACGTTAATTTTTCCTCCGATTATTTTGCACGGCACTAAGGAGAGCATTAAAGTTTTCCCACCCGAAGTTGTCGTGCAGGCTTTCCAGCAAGATTTGTGTGTAAGCAAAGCAATAAATCTGTCATATTTCTTAAAAGTATGTTTTAGAAAGAGAAGAAAAAATGTAAAATAAAATGCTACGTCTTAAAAAAGACACATATTCAAATACAAAGTAAAAATTAACAAAGGGATTCGAAATTGTCCCAACTGAATTTAAATGTTACGTATCTTTCGTATGAAAAATAATGCAGGGCACGAGGGAATTCTGTGGCAGGTGTATCGCGGTGCCATTAGTGAAACTCGCCACGGAAACTTACTCGCCGCCTGATTTCCCACCGAAATTAGAATGGTACAAATTTCAGTCGCAAAAAGATTGCATCGGTTCAGTTCTCGCCGCTTTCGAGCTGATAGAAGTGAGTTATCGATTTTTCTTCTCATGACGAATATCAACACGATGTTCCAACAGTATCATCTCTCAATTTTTTTTCCGTACAATACATTCTATTTATTGGTCTATCCCTGTTTTACAATTTCGAAGAAACATCGTAAAACTCGATGTAAAATGTATATATAGGGTGAGCCAACGAAAACTTTCCTTCCCGAGTGTTCTTTAATTTTCAATTTTTAATAATTGCCTAAGATTTCGAAATGAGATTTCTTGAGACAAACTCGCTCAAGTTATACGAGCAAGACGGTGAAGAGAATTAAAAGATCTTTAAAATAATGTGTATTGTAACTTGATTATTACTATTAAAAATTGTTTTAGGGGTAGCTATCCTAATTAAGGGGATGTGCAACACAATTGAACTTGTCACAATCATATATCGCCCTTGAAAACGAAGGTGATGTATCTCGGCACATTTTGCCTGAATCAGTTACAAAAATACGGAGTGAAAAGTTTTCGTTGACCCCGTATATATAATATAATATATATATCTCTTATGGGATAATACATCGAGTTTTACGACGTTTCTTCGAAATTGAGAAATAAATATTTCAAAATTATACGTATACGTATATATATTATTGTGCAGACAGAGAACAAAGAGATTTCGGAGGTTCCGGAGAACATGTCAGTGGAGGACAAAATTTACAGCATCCCAGCGGACATCAGGCCGAAAATGGCGAGCTATAGGCTGGAGGTGATCTTTTGGGGTGTTCGCGACATGAGGAAGATCAAATATATGCCGGTGCGCAGGCCGAGAATTATAGTAGAGTGCGCCGGAGTACACATCAAGTCGGAGGTGATGAAGAACGCTAGGAGATTCAGCAACTTCGAGAAACCGCACATTATGATCGAGCTGGTAATTTTGAAATCATCCCGAGAATGGTTAATTGGTAAACATTGCGCGTAATATGCGCGTACGATGTCTAAGATAAATTTCGTGCATGCGTGATTTAAGAAACGAAGGTAACTCCTATTTAAAGAAACGGAGAACTTCTTCGGAAAGTCTGCAAACTACATTTCAATAAAATGTAGTTGATCGGCGTTTAATTTTGATCATCAAGTCATTCAACTTTTAACGTCGAATGTCTCGACGGTCAGAAATTAGGATACGATTAAAACAAATCCACGTGATGTACGTTATTAATGGCGAGAAAACGGAGCCGCTCTAAAACTCATTAATCATCAAGGAAATGCCGGAACTCGACATTTACTACCCGAGCATCACCATAAAGGCTTACGATTCGCGCGGATTTGGCTGCTTCAAGTATGCGGGGATCTGTATTATCCCTAACATTCACGTGTTTCTGGAGCAATTAATAACCGAGGGGGATTACGAGGCGCAGATATACGAGTCGAAATTCATGCAGAAATTCCAGCTGGCGAAACGGCAGACGGCAATAGTGTGTTAGTTTATTTATTGTCATTGTAAATGGTTTTTACATATTATAAAAATGTATTACGAATATTAAAAGAAAGATTTTCTTTCTTTAATATTATATTACATAACGTTCTAGATTGCACAGTGGTCTGAAAAAAAGTAAGACCAAAAAGAATATGAGAAAGAGGAATTATGATTATACGCACTTTTATTATTATTCATATTATTAATATTAAATATTTTTTACGTTACACTGTACAGAAATATTTTTAGGATATTTAGTATTGCTTTCACATTTTATTATCGGTGCAGTACCTCTGCCGATCGATTATAGTCCTTCGAAGGAAGAGAGCAAAGGTCTCATTGCATATAAGAGAATGGCTGCAACGGACATCTACTCCAAGTTGAAGAGACTGCTTATAATCACGAAGAGGATATTGAAATTCAAGGTTTTTATCAGGAAAACGAAGGTGGAAATTTATAAAGATAGCGATGACGAAACCCTCAATTGGTGGAGCAAATATTTCGCCTCCCTTCAGGTAAAATTATTTTAAATGTAAAGAATAATTATCGCCGAAATTATTTCTTATCGATTTGCACAAAGAATTCATTCATATCTAAGAGGCATTGTTAACATTTGAACTAAAAAACATAAAAAAATATCTACTTTCTAAAATTCTTCGAAATTAATTATTTTTCTAATCCTTAAAGATGTCCAATACTACATTAAATCGTGTAAATGTAATTGCGTAGATACTAAGCTGTTTAAATATTTAGCTGCTTAGAGTACTCAGAAATTTAATTGTTTGGATACCTAACGACTCAGGGACTTAGTAGCTTAATTGCCTAGGCACTTAACTGTTTAAACGTTTAATAGTTTACTAGCTTATATGATTAGCAGTTTAACGATTTAAATATATTTGTCTCTGCTTTTTGATCCCTTAAAATTTTATACGTTGCATCATAAATCGCGAAGACATTGTTAAATTATAGAATTAACGACTTTATGGATCTCGTATGCAGGTTTCTCTGCTTCTAATTTCTTGAATCTTCGAAAAATTTTACAAAATTTTCCCTCGATTCAGCTTTATTTTCCAATCGTGGTAAATCGCATTGCTGACAAATGAACCGATCCTGACCGAAATCATGTAAAACACGATGATTGATTGACTAGAGCTATTCAGCCGAGGCATCTGATAATGCAAATTATTGAATCATGTTGAATCCATAGGAAGAGAGAAATAGAGAATTGGGGATCGCGATAGCATTTCGTCGTAAACCCGTGGCAACGTTCAAGGTACTGTTTAATGTACTTGCCCAAACTTGAGTGCTCAGACACTGAAATCAGATCTATTCCACGGAGTTGGAGGTGCAGCCGCAATTTGAGGGGTTTCAAGACCGACTCCGCACTTTCGAATTGTGGCGCGGAAGAAAGGGTGGAAATCCCGAGCACGGAGATAATTACGCCGGCAAATTCAAGGTTAATTCAGTTTAAAAAATTAGCTGTGAAAAATGGAAATTGACTTTGTATGAAAATAGGAGAGAGGAAGCTCTTTGTGTCGTTAAAGGAATTTTGTCTAATTCTTTGATACAAATATCAAGTGCACGACATTTATATAAAATAATGTGGATCCATTAAATCTCGAGCGCTTTATTTATTTATGTCATATTGTGACTTTAGGGGTATATTTCTATATATCGATGGCCGCATCCTGATAATTTTCCGTGCAAAACGAGAAGCGGGAGAGACGCGGCTAATGGCCTGTGCAACGATTATCCGCCTCAAGAGCCTGTTAAGCTCCTCGTTAGACTCTACGTTGTAAAGGGTTAGTTTCCCCCGTAATATCATGTGCGCCGAAAAAAATGACTTGTTTTAAGAACACTCTCCGTTCGTTCGCTTTTATATTAATATACAGACTCTTCGAGAAAAGTAAATTCAAAGCTGCACTGTCGAAATATTTTTTTTTAAACCGCGGGCTTCCATTTTACCGAATAAAAATTAATCCCTTGTCAAAAGTGTTTATAAATGAAAGCGAACGTGTAATGGGTACCACGAGACGTTTTCTCTGCACAAACATTTTCGCCATTTTCCCATTAAAAAAGACTAAAGGGTGATTTAAAGATCTCCTGCCATTTTATTCGCGGGATTTCCCGGTACACCTTATACTCCTCTAGAAAACTGGAAAGCCCGTCTGCGGCATCGAGCCGACAGTAAATTTGCTTTTCGCGCAGGCATTAACTTACAGCCTAAGGATCCCCTCAGCGGCAAGTCTGACCCGTATCTTTGCGTGAAGCTGGGAAAAAATTCTATCAGCGACAGGAAGAATTATATACCCAATCAATTGAACCCTACGTTCGGCCGGTAAGGTCAACAAAAAGCTGTCGTAGCTTCTTTCCGAGGCACATCGCGGTATAGCTGTGCCCTTCGGGCGTTATCGGGAAATATTTTATCGATATCCATCTGTGCATCCGTGCGTATCGGCTTTTTACAGCTCTCAAACTGTACGATCGGGTTTTCTAGCTACTCCACGTAATAACGTAGCGTATATGTAAGAGGGATGTAAGATTATTTCGATAACCAAAGCGCTTTTCCATTTTAAAGACGCAATATCGAACGAATTAAGCAGCCTCTTACATACTTAATAATAGATGAAGTAAAATTTCATTCTTTAGTACACCGTGTTATTTAAAATAATCTATTTAGAATATCCTAAAACGATGTGATATCTAGAATACCCTGAACAATGAACTGCCGTACATTTCTTTCCTAAGCATAGTGATTGATTTCGACTAAATAGAAAGAGAGATCACGTAGCACGATTACCCACGATTGTCCAAACTCTGCACGATTGGGTTTTCTAGCTATTTTAGGTAATAACGTAAATATTACAGCGATCGGAATTACTTTGTTACTCAATATGTTATTTATTTTTAAACATGGCCCATTTTAGAAATCAACAGGCTTAGATTTTTCTAGCGACAAGATAATATGAAATAACTCTTTAAGGGCCATTTTTACATAATAATTAATATATCTACTGTTTAAAAAATGAGTTATTAAATATTCTTTTTTTTAATGGTCGACTTTGAATAAATATAGAAAATATTAATGGGCGCAATTATCCTTGAATAGTCACTATTGTCTGGCAGTGTGTTCGAGATCGAGGCGAGCTTCCCGCAGGATTACATGTTAGAGATTCAAGTGTGGGACTTCGACGCTACAACAGCCGATGATCTAATCGGCGTGACGCGGATTGATATCGAAAACCGATTTTACAGTCGGCATCGGGCGCATTGTGGGATCGCGGGCGCTTACAGCACCGCCGGTTACAACGCCTGGAGGGAGCGCGAGAGACCGACGCAGATCCTGGAGCTCCTCTGCAGGAAGAACAATCTGCCACCACCGGAATACGGAGAGAGCGAGATTAAGATCGGCAAGCAGTCATTTCCCTTTCACGCCGTGATCGAACGCGAAGACGTGGTCGGTATGTAATATTCTATCGGTTGGGGATTATTATCGTAAGTGCTAAGTGATATCCCGATAGAGAGAGAGTTCATATCCTGATACAAATCAAACACTAGTCGTTTGTAATTTACAATTCAAATAGAAGATTAAGGTTCACATTTAAAGCCGCCACTTGAATCTTATTTCAACAGCCTGACAGATGAGATTCGGAGTGAAGGTACTCAAAGAATTTCTGATTTGCTTCCTTTCATAAAGGCCAAACGCGCAGACCGTAATTTTCTTAAAATCAATAAATGTTTAAAAAATTTTGATTTTTTATTTTAAGTTAAATAAAAAAGTCCATAATAACGTATAACGAATAAAGTAGGCAATACTTTACAATATTAATTACAATATTTTTAAGTATTGTCTGTTTTATTCTTTCAAGACTTTCTCTCTTCTTCCTTCATTTCGCAGACACAATGTTTGTTGACAAGAATATGACTAATTATAATTTCGTATGCATTAATCAAAATGCAACAATCGCGCGGCATTTGCAGCATTAGTAATACGATAATAACTTAACGAGAGAGGCTCGTATTGTGAGTGATAATAAATAATAATATAATACAGGAGTATATTGCAAGCCACTTTGCACCATCATACCATGTATCAGTTACTTTGTCATCACAAAATGAAATATTTAATAAGTAAGAAATCTAAAATACGTTGAATTGTACACGGAGAGAGAATTATCTCTTCAAATTTACTCGAAAAATCATGCCTAATTGTGGGACATCGCATTTTGAAGAACTTTACGAGAGATTTTCCAAATTTTACCATACGTTCCACTAGTAAAGTGTATGGCAAAATTTCAAAACACTCATAAAATTCTTCAAACTGCTATGTTATCCCACGGTTATATGATTTTTAAGATACTAGAAATGACAAAACGCGCGCTTTTAAAAAAATTTGTATACATGCAACGAAGTAATTGTATGCGCAACGTCACTTTAAAATAAAAGGTAATTTATCACTCACTGATAGGATTCGCAATAGCAGCGTTGTACATCAGTAACTATATACGTATGGTAAACTGTAAAAAGACAAATATGTATATGATTATTATAAAATAATTATAAAATCGAAATTATTGTATTAAATATACTTTATATTTTTTAAATAAGTATTTATTAAAATAATTATATAGAATACTGAAAAAGTCTTCCTTTTAAATATAAACTCACAAAATTTTACACGTATGGTTTCGCCTCTAACACTTTTTCGGATCCTCGTTCAACTTATTTGAATAAATAAAATAAAAACATAAAACAGATGCTTTATTTCGCACAAGTAACAAATAACATAAAAATGTTAGACACTTACCTCACCATTTCTCCGCCGTTGCCCGATGCCTCCTCGGCCTCCTCCTCCTCTCAGATTTCCTTGTTGCACTTACACAACACTCACTCGCAAAAATCATCGATCGCGCGAAATTTCGGACACTCCCGTACGCGATGTGAAATACCGCGAAACGCACGAAATATTGTTAACAAATATCGCGTGACTTTCTGTTATACAAATTACTCAAACTAACGACTTGCATTTTCGATTCGGAAAAATAGGATAATGGATAAAACACTTTTGAATTCACGGTAAAAACAATGTAGCTGCTGTAGCTAAAACTTAGCAAAATAGGGACAGCTAATATTTTAGTTGTGATAGCTCAATATTTTGCTACTGTGCCTATTGTATTAGGTGCGACAGCAAACGGTTTGCTGTCTTAGCAAAATATTGAGCTATCACAACTAAAAATATTAGCTGTCCCTATTTTGCTAAGTTTTAGCTACAGCAGCTACATTGTTTTTTCCGTAATTGGCGATATAAAATACGACGCGAGCAACGGAAGCATAATCTTCGGTAAAGAGCGAATTACAGCGCGAACGCCGAAGTCGTACAAATTTCTCTCTTTTCCCGAAAATGGAACAGATTACACGAAATCGATAGATAATTAAAAGCGCGATGCGTAAACGAGATGTAACCGCGACAAAGTATCACGGTTTCATATTTTAGATGAGTTAGTCTCGCGAAATATCTACGTGTACGTTGATAAAGAGCCGTCGCCTCGACATGCAATTCGTTTCTTATTACAAGTTGGAGAAACTTAATAATTAATCGAGGAACGTTACTTGTTACCGATAAAGGTGTACAAATCAATAGTGTTTTATCCCAGCATTCATCGCGATCGAGTCTTGGAAACCGATAACGCAAAAGTAATAACACGCACGGAGCGACTCTCGCCACTGCCTGCCGGCCCGACGTTCGGCGAGCGAATGAATGCGCATCAGCGACCTTCAGGTACACGATGGCACGCAAAAACGTCGTACGTCACCGCGCCGAGAGAAAAACAACTACGAACGTTGAGAATTCGGTGTCTTTTTTTGTTCCGTGACTGTTACTATGTTTTGTGTATCATTCTGCGGACTTATTGGTACCGATTAAATAAACGATTAATTCTGTTCAATCGAGAAAATGTATCGGAACAAAAATCATTGTTACTTAAAATCTAACTACTAAGATTAGAGATTTTACCTCAACAATTGGTGTATACAAATGTGTAGTTTATAAATTGCAAATCTTCATTTACCATGAATCGAAAAGGGTAGCGAAGCACACCGCGCTTCGAGAAAACGAATCGGTATCGCGGAAAAGAGGCCTTAACTGTTCGACATTAACGACATTCGCGCTGGTAACATCTCCTTTTTAGAAAGGGAAATTTTAAGAAAAAGTTCTCTCCGTGTATATTCATCAAATTTTTAATTAGTCAACAAACAGTTGAGTTCTATGGTACACATATACAGGGTGAGTTTTTTAACTTGAGACTGCAAAATATCTGGAAAAATAATCATTGTACGAAAAAATAGTACAGTCTCAAGTTAAAAAAACTCACCCTGTATACGGCTTAATCAAATTACTCAAGACGACAAATAAGAAAATTACATTTAAATGCCATTTAAAGTGTGAGTCTGGTTTCGAACCATAGAACATTTAGTCGATTAAAATACGTAATTTCTTTAATTGTCTTCAGACTATGCTCGAGAAAAACAGCATTTTTTTTTTGATAGAAGGTTGAACAATGTAAAACATGAGCACACACAATTCTCTCCATTATTAGACTGCAAGAAACAGAGCTCAGTTTGCCTCAAGACAAACGTTGAGTTTCTCAGGTGAATCGCAATTACGAACGTGTCGTTACGAATGTAGAATTTACTCTCATGATCCATTTATTAAAGCGTATCACGTCTGATTTTGGCCGAGTTCTTCAACAGAAATGCGACTATATAAACTATGTGCGTTCTTTAAATAATCATCATCTAATCATATGATTAAAAATTATCACTGTAAAAGATGTTTTACTCTTCTTCTTACTCGATTGTTTCGACACTGATGAATTAAAAGTAGCAAGTACACACAAAGTATAATACAATAGTCCATTAAGAAATTTGTACTGAATAATCAATATACGCCGACAGACAAAGAAGAATGTATGGCTCTCAACGTACTTCATCACTGGCAAGATTTCCCTATCTGCGGATGTGCCCTGGTGCCGGAGCACGTCGAGAGACGGCCACTTTTCAACGCTAAGAGGCCTGGTCTCGAGCAGGTTGCATGAAATTCATCGTCTGACCATGAAAAGTAACTCCGTTCGTTAGGAAACGTGACTGTGATACAGACATTTGTTGTCCCGCGGCAGAAAAGTTCTCTTTACATCCTCATTCAATCGTGCATTACTTTACCGCATGAGATACATTTCTTTGATCAGAAAAATTATTGCGAACCACTTTTGCCTATAAATATAATTATTCCGGCGAGCTGATAAATTCTATAATCATATAACAATGTATTCTAAAGGGAGAGAAAGAATAATTAAAATCGAGGATCTTGATATAAAAATATTACAATTACAATGGTTTTTGAATTATAAGCAATCAAAGTTGATCCGTGATATTGCCTCGAGAGATTTGCACATTAATTTATCGTAAGCGATTGATTTTTTCAATATAGATAACAATTGACTTTTGCCGCTGAGCTGACCTTATCTGTGCACGATGAAATATATTCACAATATTTTTATGCTCTCCAATTCAAATATTTTATATTTATATGAATTTTTTATTTTTTAAATATAACAAGAACTGTTGGAATAAACAATAAATTTAGATATCAAGTGTTTCACAGGAATAAATAAATAGAATATTTATCGTTGCCTGTCATTTTAGTCCAAATAAAAATTCTCATAGTAATCGTTAGAAAAATAATTCCTTGACTTCTCTTTGATATTTTTTATTTTGTTAATGTATCTAACATAATTTTCACAAATTCATTTCCTCATTAAATTTTTTGATTAATTTTGATTAAAATAAAGAACGACTTGACGTTTTAACGAACCTTTGCAAGATTTAATAAATAAAAGTATTACTTATTCACCTTGTGGTCCAATAACTTCTCCCCTCTGTTTCTTTTGTTTCTTCTTTGTCGCTCATTTATGGTTCTCATATACAATAATATTCACTCGCGTAAACACATAAATTACAATTGCGGGTGTTAATTATCAGAATATGACAAATCTCCAGCCAAACGTATCAAATTAACGGTACACATATGCTAATCAAAATTATGTTACGCGCAGTTAACAAATATTAAAATACTGAACTAATTTTAATTATGCCTATTATCGAACACATCGTGACGTAGCTCAATCCGGAGTCAATCTGTTCTGTACACATTTCGTTAATGAATGAAAAATTGGCGACTTCATTTCGATACCGTGTGTGATACAATGCGACGAAGTCAAGTTAATTAAAGCGCGATGGAGCGTTCGGAAATATCCAATTGAAATTCAGCATTGCACACGTGCGGCACATCGAACGTATAAATCTCGCGCGAAATATACAGAATTATTAATAAACAATATGTAACGCACGCGGCTTTCTGTAACTTGAATTCACCGACACGTGTGTCATTCCGTGTCCTCAATGCGCAAATGGTAGCGAAATGGCGTTTAAATCGATGAGAACTTTAAAGCGTGCGCGCGCGATGTATTCAAATTCAGGCTGAAGAAACAATTTACCGCGCGCGAGTAACGCGGGAGGAGATAATTTACAACTGCCGTGCCAGTGTCACTTCGATTTCTACGTCACGCGAATAAATCGCGCGGAATGCGTGCCGCAAATCGGCAGCCGTCGACACGATGCGCTTACAAATTGTTGATCGCAACAGTTAATTAATGGGGAGTTACAATCATTAGTTATTCTGGGGGATTAATCGCGTTTTGCGAAGTGATAACGCGACGACACGCGCCGCTGCTTAACGAGCTCGAGTCTGAATGATTGCACGGTAACCTTGCGTAAACACATGCCACACGTTGTAATAACAAACAAGGCTCGGTGCCAGTTAAACAAACGAAAGATTGGGTGCTTTGCGAAAAAAAGTCACGCCGAATATTCAGTGCCTCGCATCCCGAATTAATCTCGATCGAATTAATCTCGACAGATTATTAAAGCGCGTTAATTGCAACGTTCACTTGAAGAAAGAATTCGTGAATTTCAAAAAGACATTTGCATATATCAACGTGTTATCACAGACATATCAAATTTGTACGTTTCGCGAGGAACGTGTGAAAACTCTACACGATTTTAATAATTCAAAAATTCTCGCGATTTTAATAAATCAGATTGAATCAGCGCGTGAAACCTAGTAACTCCTCTTGATTTCTCAACGTCTCGCAGTTGAATACTAGAAACATTAATATTAACGCTAATTTAGAATAATAATATAATTTTCAGTTGTTGTTTGCAAAAGTAAGTACGCTTCAAGTTTAGATTAATAATTACATTTAATAATTATTTTAAACTGCGTAATTAACCATTCAACTTCTCATTACGAAAAGAGATTAAATAACTGGTTAATTGATTACGATAATATACGCGTAATGTTTCACCGTAAGAAAATAAAGGGCATAATTATTTGTGAAAATTAACACGTATTACAAATCAATGTACGGGGGGCTCAATGCGACGGCACTGGTTCACTTCGATCGCTTGTAACTTGAAAATTATTGTTACTTTTATATTACGATCTCTCCACAATCAACCTCTGGAATATATTATTGTACCGTAGAGTTATCAGCTTCCCATTAAAAAAAAAGGATGCTTTAGGGCAAACTCGAAATGTGGATCGACATGTTTCGAATTGGACAATTGCCACCGAAACCGGCGATCAACATTGCTCCCCCAACGCCGGAGGAATATGAAGTTCGCGTGATTGTTTGGAATACCGAGGATGTGCCGTTGACCGAGAGCCAATTCCTCACCGGGGAAAAGTGCTCCGACATTTATATCAAAGGGTACGTCATCGCAAACGTGTGAGGCTGACGAATGGAAGCGCATTTTGTCGGGTCTACCTAAACGATTATCTGCAATAAAGACGTAGAAAAAAAAGTTATGAAATGACAAGTGAGTTCGAGCGAATTATCCGAGCTCACTTTATTGCCCGCGATTAATCGACTCCCTTGATTAACGATTCAGGAACATATCGAGACGGCGATATTTGACAATTCGTGAATATTCCGCGCGATTTATTCAGTCGAAGATAGAAAATGGAAATTGTAAATTATTGTCTCGCGATATTTACGGACGGTATTGGTGACGTTTTTGCCGGTTCGAATACATCTCGCTTTAAATGTTTCACTTTCAATTTAAATATAATTTAGATCACCGCGATTCATCTGTATTGATCCACGATGCTTTAATTCCAATTGGCAAATAAATTTTCTTGTCCTTTGTTATCGTACGCGTATATCTGTCGGCAGCGACCTCTTAAGGCTCTTAAAATCTCACAATGATTAATTTTTTAATCAATTCTTCGGAATAGTCGGTTCCAATAAAATAAATCACTTTATGGTAGAGGCGATCGATCGATTCGCTATTGCCGGGTTCGCTATCTGATCGAAATAATTTCGTAGATGGATTCAATACGAGGATTACCAGAAGACCGACATCCACTATAATTCCTTGACCGGTGAGAGCAGCTTCAACTGGAGATTCATATTTCGCGTCACATATTCCAAAGACGAGAACGCTATGATAGCCCGCAGAAGAGTGTCGGCGTTCGCCAAGAACGAGATCGAGGAGAAGCTGCCTTGCAAGCTTCATTTACAAGTCTGGGACAACGATCACTTCTCCTCGAATGATTTTCTAGGTAATTAAAATACGCCACCGATCGCTGTTTCGGTTCACGGATTTAAAATATCAATTGCTGATTGGAAAACTAAATAAATTTCGCATGCAATATCGTATACGATACGAAGCAATCACGCAGCATATTTGATACTCGATAATTATTTTTAAATTAACTCGGGTGTTATATATATGTAAAGTCAGTCTGCCGTACGGGTGAATTTTAGAAATTTTCGTTTAATTAAATCTCGGCTGCAAGGAGGAAACTGTATTTTTAGAAACAGAAAACACATATACACCTGGAAAGATAAATTATGCCAGGTTCATGATTAATTAACGTGATTCGTGACGTATTGTATAAACGTTCTCCGATTAATTAACGTGTTGCAGGAGAGTTGACATTAGATCTGTCGAGAATGCCGCGAGGCAGTACAAACTCCAAAAACTGCACATTGAAATTACTCGAACCGCAGTTGCCTACAGTAAATTTATTCAAAGTTACCCGTACTAGAGCTTGGTGGCCTTTTGCACGTAGCATTGACGCTGGCAGATATATTCAAGCGGTAAAATGTCGTGAAACCATAAAGGACCTTGTTGAAAAATCTCGAATAAACCGCAAAGCGAATTATAATTATGTGACAATTATTTTGTGAAGAAAGATAAACATGAAATTACTTGATTTTTATCGTCTAATAATTATACCCTCTTTCACTGTAGGGTAAAATTGAACTGGAAATGTCCGTTTTGAGAGCAGTAGATGCGGACGATCTGCCGGCAGGCAAGGGAAGGGATTCGCCTCAAAATCTCCCGCATCCGAGGTTCATTTCTCCTCGTTTTAATTTCAATAATTTATTTCTCATATTGATTTGCAAAAAAACAACAAATGACTTTTCAATAAGAAACTCGTTTAGTAACAAGCAATATAATAATTGATCTTATTCCTTAATTCCGAAAAATAGGCAGAAACATGCAATAAACGGTCTATATTTCGAGATCGATTATTAACTATTTTATTTACGTTATTCACATTACTATATTAATATTTTACAAAGGACACCTCTTTCCGGTTCCTACTCACTTATTTAAATTATATTAAACGTTAGATTAATACATAATAATTAAATACATTTGAATGTTGTGTCTCCAATAATGTCCGATTTTGATAAAAGCATGCACCTCCCTTTTCTATATTCAGCATTTCCAATTGTTATCGTGAATGTATTATATTATATAATGCATTCATTGCGGTTCACAGGCGGCCCGATACTTCTTTCTCCTGGTTCCGCAATCCGTGGCGGGCGTGCTGTTTCGTCGTTTGTCGCTATTACAAATGGCGAATTCTGTGCTGTTTTACGTGTACGTTGTTTGTGCTTTTAGTAGCGTGTGGGATCTACGCTTTTCCCGGATATTTTGTCAAACGTCTCTTAGGTGCTTAGTTTTCGAAACGGTACATTTAATGGACTCTCATAAACTTGAAAATAAATATTATTGTAGTTTATACATGAAAATAAACTCATACAAAAATTAATAACACACGTGCTTTCGATTATTTAATCAGTTTCTGCTGAAAACTAATGTAACCAATTGTTAAGTTAATAATAAATTATTCAAAAACTACTTCAAAAGCTAGACAAATTCCCCCTTAAAATATGCATGTAAGCAGTTTAGTTGTTGATGCTTTTACGCGACGCTTGATTTTCTCGCTTGGTTCACTTTGCGCTACGAGAGTAGTTGTCAGCCTGGAAATCATGTATATTTTAATACCTTGCCAGGTTACCTTTCCTTTCTTGAAAAAATCTTAATATGTAAAGAAAATGACGATTAAAATTAAAATTAAACAGCGCGCGCAATGATATCTAGGTTTTTAAAAAAATGAAACATTTAATATCAACCAATTTACATTATTATTAAAGCAAAGAATTAGCCACTTCGTTCATAATAAAGATTTACTACCAACAATAAGTAATATGCATCTGTACGCATCAACTAAATTCAGGCAAAATCTGTCGGTAATTAAAATTTCAGTAACAACGATTTTCGAAACATTTTCTTCGCTCGAACGGAGTCGCTCAATCGAAAGTTATCTTAAGCAACAGAGGAAAGTCTCCCATTATGATACAGGGCTTCTAATAGCGGAGTTTCCGCTAAATTAACAGGCATCGTCTGTTGATTCCACCACGAATTTGTCGCCCTTGCCAAAATCTGTTTAGTGGAAAATTGTTCGTGAGATCGCGTAATCGTTGCGAGAAAAGATTTGCGCTTTAATTTGGACGTTGAAAACCTGCTATCTCATATTAGAATCCCATCTCATAATAGAGGACTTTCCTCCAATTAGTGAGTTCGTCGAGCGATGCGTAAAATGTATGGTAACAGTTACCGAGCAAAGTAATCTGAAATGTTAGGCACGGAGTTTTGAACTTACACTTTTTTCGCAGGAGAGACAACGAAGTCTCAACGTACTTACTTGTTTTTCTCCCCTTCGCGGGACTTCGTGCGACGTTACGCAGGCCGTTGTTTACTCGAAGGTCACCGCTCTATCATTCGCCCGGCGAACGTCGAGCCGGCCGGCAGTGTCGAGAGTCGCTCCGTGCGTCGTATTACTTTTGCGTTATCAGTTCCCGAGACGCGATCGCGATGAGTGTGGCGATAAAACGCTATTAATTTGTGCACGTTTGTTAGTAATTTTCATCGATCGGTTACCGGAGCGTCCACCACTTGTGATGAGAAACAATTTGCGCGTCGCGACAACGGCCTTTTCTCAGTGTGGACTTTACGAGACTAACTCATCCAAAACGTGAACGTGAACTGTGATTGCCGCGCTTTGAATTATTCGCCGACGACAGTGTAATCTGCTCTCCACTTTCGGGAAACGAGAGAAGAATTTGTCGGCTTTGTGCTTCGGTGTGCGTGCGCTCCGTTGGACAATGAAGAAACGAAATTACGTCTTGTTGCATATATCTGACGTATTACGGGCCGACTCGTCGTGTTACACGAGCGTTGCCGCATTCGTACCGCCGCGTTTAGGCTGACGTTACATTTGTCGACGAATTTTTCAAGTGTGTCGATTGACTGCGGGACAGTAAAGTCGTCGAGTATCTAGAAACTTTCTATTCAGCAGCCAATCGGCGCGCTTGAAACATTTGTCGCACGGCAATTGTAATATCAGCGCGCCGATACAAGTCCGCGTTAAGCCCGTGAGATGGAGATTAGATGGAAATTGGACGAACCGGAGTAAAGTTTGCTAGTCCCAGGTACAGTGATTTTTCCTCCGATACGGGCTTTACACGGAAGTCTACTGGTGCACACCCTCGGCCCGCGAGATCGTATCTCGCGCCACAGGGCGAGGTGGCGCGAAGTTGGCGGCGCGTCGGTTCGAACGCGGCCAACGTCACAACGTACGTCGCTCGCGCAAGGAAAGCCGGAGGCGAACGCCGCGCCGGTTATTCCGCCGTTCGAGGCGCGTCGTGCGTGTGTGTGTGCGACAAACGCGTCGCGAGTGCCGTGGGAACGAACAGCCGAGCGTTATATCGCGTTAATTAGTGCGCGAGATTTCAATTATCCCGTTTCCCCGGTGCGTCCACCCGATCGACAAAAAGCAGCCAACGTCCAGCGCCGCAATGGAGTGCCAGGCGAGCGGCAGCAGCAGCGACGCGCCGATCGGTGAGTCAATTTATCTGTTATATTGCCGAACTAATTGCTCATTTACTGTATTCGGCGTCCCCGCGACGTCGCCCCGTTTTCTATTCTTCGCGCGTGCACCCGTTCCCCGATTTACGCGGAGTGTTTGTCTCCCGCCTAATTTTCTTTCTACATGATCAAACATGCAAGCGGATTATTCACCGCGTAAAAGGTACCGCGGGGGCGAACCGAGGGGTGAGTTTGCGTACACAATTCGTACAGTGTTTTCGTAGATGTAAGAGGAGAAGCTCCAGTTCGTTTTGATATTAAACTACAAGTGCGCGTTACGTCGATACACACGGCCACAGGCCGGGTTTTTCATTTTTTGGTAAATTGTCGGCCAGAAGTTGGTCAATTCTCTATCTCCTCCGAGATACTGACATAAAAAGAGATGGGCCCAACCCAGTGAGAAATGATTCGTCGATTCGACATCATTTCGATCTCAATTCGATGGTGTCGATGTCTATTCGACGTCGTTTCGACGTCGATCGACGAATCGTTTCTCACTGGGGAGTGAAACGACGCCGCGGCGCGACGTGAAGTTGCCGGCGCGCGGCGCGCGGCGCGAAGTTGCCGGCGCGTGGCGTGAAGTTACCGCCGCGCGGTTCGAACGTGACCGACGTCTCAGTGCTGTACCTCGCGCGCGTAACGAAAGCCGGGAGCGCTGCTCCGGCGCTCTCGCAGTCTGTTCTCGGGTCGCTCGCTCGTTCAGAGTCGCGCGCGAGATGACGACGGACGGGCGTCGCGTGGCGTCGATTTAGCGCGCGCGCGCGATCCCGATTAAGCCGCGCGTTTTCGCGGATCGACCCGTGTCCCGCGCGAACGAACGCGCGGAACGGCGATGGAGTCGGACGGGAGGCAATGACGGCGTATCGATCGGTGAGCAAATTCGTCCGTTGTATTAACGCTCGGTCATCGCGCATTTGAACTCTCGCGTTAACGCGACTTCTCGAATCGCCGGGCGAGATGCGGGCAAGAGACTCGTTTGCATTATTATAATATGTTGATTAAAGAATTATCCGTTTTCGCGCGCGTCTAAAGGTAATGGGGTAATTTTAATAAATAAACATACGTCGAACTACGTGCGAGCGTTATTAAGCGTAATTTTTACGCGCACGCAACGCGTGTTTGCCGGGGGGGAAATGAAATTTTCGGGCGAACGTTTACTTTTGTTATTCCACGATTAACGGTGCAAAGTGTGAAGCATCAAATCGTGTTTTATGAGTGTATCCAGTGCAAATATTAAATTAAATGTACTGTAAATATTAATTGAAGTTTTACAGTAACGGTGTGCCACTGCAAACGCCTTGGATATGCGTTGATAAATGTTTTACACAGCGGAATATTTATTCCGCAAATAATTATTGTTAAAGCTCTATAGCTTATTATTTGCTTTTTATATTTGAAACGGCACGCGATACGCGGAGAGTTCATGATATATGCACGGATAATTGTTTATTTATTCACGGTTAATCGCCTGTGGATGAAAATTTTGCAGCCAGATACGCATCGCATATTAATGTCGCGAGCAGCATTTCGGCGATTTTGAATCGTTTATAAAACTGTGCGCCAGAAAATCTTAATAACTACAATGCAATTTCGTGCGTACGTTAAGAAGAAAGAGAAGCAAAGTGTCAATTAAACGTGAAATTACAAAGTTAGATGAATAACAATTCTGATTTCTTTAAAACAGAGTTTAATATTATTTAGCATATTTCCATATAATTTTGTGGGAAGGCTTAGTTTTAAATTAAATTTTATATCACAATTTTTTAATAACCAATTATTTGAACACAAAGGACAAACTTTTTCACAACAATAGTCGTATAACAATGCATTTTTGCTCTTTTGTATGGCACTAGTGTTTAAATTTTCCGTCTCACATTAGAGATTCGGATAGAAAAATGTTATTACACCAAAACTTTCGCTTTTATTTCATTACGGTATATTTTTATTAACAAGGATTTACCTGTTGAGTTTTAATCTTTGTTATTTCGAGCTTCAAGACTGCTTCTATAAAAATCCTTTATTCGCAATATAAATTGATATTAACTATTGTGTATAGAGAAAAGTCCTCTCTATTATGAGATAGGCTCCTAATTTGAAATAACGGGTGTTCCACATTCAATTTTACAAGTCCTTTCTCGCAGCGATACAGGCGCGATTTAATAATAAATTTTGCACTAAACAGTTTCGAAATTGCACTCCAAGGGCAATAAATTCACGGTGGAGCCAGCATACGCTGCTTATTTTTTTAGCAGAAACCCGGCCATCTCATATTAGGAGCATGTTAGGAACATATTTAAATAAATAAATAAATAAATCTATAAATCTTTATTAACGGGATAATCCTTTAGTGTACAGTGTAAAAAAAGTGAAAAAAAAGAAAGAAAACATATCTCATAACAGGAGACTCTCTCTGTTATTGTTATGTCATGGCGAGTTCTGACCGCGCTTGATAGGTGTTGAACATCGAGATAGTTTTCGGCCCACGATATAATTAGCGCCTAATGAATTGCTTGTACCACCTTATAAATATAAATAACAAATAACATATTTAATATGCCCAGCCTACAAGCAATTAAATACATTTGCGTATTGTGGGGCAGAACGTTGCACGTTACGCCTTCGCGTGTCTCGTTACTAATTAATGCCGTCGGTCGATAATAATAGATTAACCGCGATATGATGATACAATGGATGCCATTCCGATGTTTAGCGACGATAAATTTTAGCTAAATTTATCTGGAAGCAAATA